ACCATGGTGACGAATGATGGACGCAAGGGGTATTTAAAGTCCAAGATGGACCTATGATAAACCCTCCTGGTAACTCTCCAGCCCTGCCCATGGTATCCTTATGCCTGGATTAAAATTTTACAACAAATACATAAATACAACAAACTATAGGATACCTTCTTAGTAGTTGAATAAGTGCATGAGTGAGTAGGACTTTTAACAACAGTCTTGCACTATGAGGGCAGGGGCAGCAGGAATTGGACATGACACACTGTGCCAATGTGTGATATCACACCTGCTTCGGGCAGGTTGAGCAAACATGCTAACCATTAGGTTACCCCACTGCCCCACAAGCAATGACTTGTGAAGGAATAAGAACATGATAATCGTCTACAAGCATTACAGCTCAATAATAAAAAACGCAGGTGTCAGACAATATTTACACATGGACAGCAGAAACATATTGCAAAAATACATTGCTAAACTCAACAGAGATGAAAATAAATAAACTAAAACTATTCAACAGGATATAAATATATTTCAAAGAACAGATTTGATAAAAGTTTTCAGAAATTGTAACATTAAATTAAGAATGATTACAATCTTATAACAAAGAACGTCTGATTCTTACAATACATTGTCTTCCAATTGAAAATAGAACATACTTTCATGAAATATATAATAAATAGTTGAGAAAAACTTCCCTTTCAAGGCATCTGATCCCCTTAAGGCCATTATCTCTCCAAATAATAATGTTTGTGAAAATGTACTGATTTGATAACAATATACGGTTATATATATCTTAATAGTTTTGTCACTATGCAGTGTTTTAACACCGACAAGTCTCATCTGATGTGCATCTAATGCACCTATTGATATCAGATAAACAAGAGCAAGAATGTAATGATAAAGTTGGCAAACTAAACTCTCGGCTTACATACACACTGCTAAAATATAGGATTAATGACAAAGGGTACCTGTCTGACAGGTGTGTCCTGATCCAACTTCAATACGTTGCCAGGAGCTACATTTCTTTTAGTGTGCATGGTTCATCTTCTCTTGAGGGTTGGAGGGAACAAATAGTTAAAAATTACACATTTATTTTTTTGTAATATTTGGCAGCATGGACACACAAATAAAATGAAGTTGTTCTAGGTGTTTAGGCAAGTGATATACCAACACAACAATGTTATTGCATGGGTTCAAATCTTTTCTGATTTCGAATAAATGTTAAATGTGTGTCTTGATACGCAGCCTACTGTTTTAACTCTCATGACGTCTGTCAGTCAGGTGGCTCAGGCTGCACTTCTCAGTGGCCCTATGTGCTGTCGCAATTTCAAAAACATTGTACAAAAGTGTTACAACATTCTACATTTCAAATTGTATAACATACAACTTGTGTCGATTGTCTTTCCAACAGTAACTACTTTCAGCAAATCCAAAGTCTACCTGCTCTAGATCTACCAAGTCATCGGTGAATATTCATGTATTCTAACTTTCCTACAATTTCTACATAAATCATCCCTTATCCTTAACCATCACTTTGATGTAAAAAAAATATTCAAATACATGATGAACATACATGCACTTCACGGCTTGGGAAATTCCCTCTTTTGTGATATTAACCACTCCTACCAAGGTCAACATTACTTCAAACTATATTGTGTATTTAGAGTACATTTTGAAATCCACATATTTTTTATCAAATGAGCAATGATCATTCTGTGACACTTGAAATATGCAGACACAAAGAAGTAAACTTTCCGCCATATTGCAGAGTGTTTATAAAATCATGTTAAACATACGTCGTTTATATTAGCATCATAGCATCACACATAATTCAAATTCAGCTTCCCAGAATTCCCAATACATTTTACAATATAATGTAAAACTGTCTTTATCACAAATACCAAATGTCTCATGGGAAGAGTATTCAGCAAGAATTAGGGAAAGAATAAGACGAATTTCAATGATTTGGTACATTCAACACTATTTATTATAGTTTCCGTCAAGGATGAGGCCATGACTGTTATAAATTCATGCGTAACGTTAATGATACTTCGCCTCATTTCTGACTATTTCTCTTGGTTACAATCAAAATAAAAAGAAAATAACAAGCTGATTTTCAGAATGATTCTAATTATATACATGCCACATTTATGCATATTCGATGCCTGAATCAACAATATCCCGAGAACTCATGTTGGTTAGCATACCATTTATGAAAGTCACATACCGCAAGTGATGCAATATGTAAATCAACATTGTTTGGTATTTCATTGAGGTGAGGTTGGTATAAACCTATTATATTCCATTCAAGAAGAAAGAAAAGGATTGGCAAACAAGCCTAATTGGACTGTTCGTTTGTACAATTGTCCCAGAGATGACAGCAATAGTCAAATAAAGGTAAGATAAAGGATTTATACATTGTTTCGAGAATTTTGCGTGATAGTCTGTATTTAAAACTACGGAGGCAATTAATCATAGGGCTAATTTTACTAATCATTTCATTAATGTGGGAATGCCAAAGGAGGTTTTCCTGTAAAGTTACTAAATGCCTAAATGTTTATGAACCTGCACTTCATTTATACGGGTACAGTGCATCGGGAGGGGAGGTTTCGTAGAAGGTTTGGTTTTGCGTGAAAATTGGATAGTTTCAGTCTTGTTTGGATTAAATTTTACTTGCCAGGTTTATGACAATATGCACTATCAATCTATCCTGCATGCATCTTTTGCAATTTCTATACACTTTTTCATACAATTAATTTCACTATGGACATCTTTTGCTTTGGAACCAGCTATCCAGGAGTCCAGTCTAAATCAATTGGCATCAATTCAGTCAAAATCTAACTGGGAAACTCATAACTGTTTAGCAAAGGCCCCATAATGGCACAATACAACGTTTACATTAAGAATTCTACTTTTAATGTCAGAAAAAACAGCAATATTAACTGATTCTAAAATTCCATTTTGTTTGATACCAAATCAATGTTATTTCCCGTTGAATATTTTACTGCTCCTAATACAGTTTTAAGGTAGACTTTGCCAAAACCTTTCGAGACAAGTAGTATGAACTTAATTTTTTAGCATAATGTTTATTAAGTATAAACTGAACAGAGAATTACTAGCCACGGGCTACAGACTCACAGTGAACGTTGCCTGTTTGGACACTCTTTCAGTATCATATGGCATGTTATGTCAACATAGGTGGACAGCTAAAGGGTCAGAATCTGCAAGGCCTAATTATGGTAATTCCATCATCAGCTAATGTCATCACAGCTGGGACCTCTTGAGGAAGTAGGTTAACTTCACTACAAGACCATCTCTGCCACCAAGCTATAGGACTGGCTACAATACAGGTCTAATTAGTCGTTTATAGTCAGGCAAGGGAATGGATCCTGAAAGACATTCAGCGACAGTTAAAACCTACTTACATTCAGAGCTAGTTTTCTCATGATCAATTGTTATACATTTTCACAAAAATAGGTAAAAGATAAGTGCTTACAGGCAATGTTAGACTTTTGTAAATAGAAAAGTACAATCCAAAGTATTATGGACTGACCATGGAATATAAGAGATGTGGAAGGAGATGGGAATTGCAGCATAACATGTTTTAGGCCAATGATTCAAGAAATACACATGTTTGGAGAAACATTTTCAGGACATCAAGCGAGCATTTATTTACTTTTTTTCAAAAACATAGGTTTAAAATTCCCAGAATATTAAACAGTCAGTATGTAACTTCCATGCATTACTGACATGTCATGAGATAAACTATCTCCATATAACCACACATAAATGTGCATATGCACCCCACTTAAATAGTTCTTATTATGACTATTCCATCCCAACTTAAGGCACAAGCAGTAAGTCTCAGTTCAGAGGTAGAGTGATAAAGATTGTTTAAATTATTGATGCTTTTCCATTCTCCTTTTCCATGACAGGATGAGGTGGTGACAAGCAAAGAAACACAATCAGGATGAACCAGGAATCGTACAACAATAGGTTTCGGGTAGGCCTCAAGGAAGCAGCTCTCCGGAGTGAAAGTGCAACAACATAGACCTGTATCTGTACACTCTTATCCAAACTTTACAAGTCTAAATTACCTCGAATATCATAACTTACGTTTGTCTTCAACTAGATAGTGTGTTGGGAGTGATATGGTAGGCCTGGTATATTCAACATGTTCAATCACAGATACTGCTAATCTGGTCAGATAAAAAGCCAGATTTTCCCCCCAATTACTGAGCATTTCAAACCATTTCACATATGAAAATCTTGATGTACAACTTATACTAAACCGGAATGCAAAAGGCCAGTACAAGACTATAAATTATAACAATGTCCTGTGAGTTTAAATCTATAAATCTTACATTATAAAATGATTTGAATGAATAATTTGAAAGCTGATTGCCACAGATGTTATATTTGTATCGAAACAGAAACAACTTATTTTGAAATGACAATGAGAGTGATTTCAGGCAGGAGGTTGAAGATAGGCATACCTGGGGTGAGGATGTGATGACCGATTTACACCAGCTTAACATCAACACTTAACCTATAGTCTGATTGCAGTGAAAACATATCGATGAATTTCACTTTAAACAAAAAAGTATATCAAATAAAGTGAAATTAAGATTGCAATCCTCATAATTTTACCTTGCCAATAAAACATATAAATTTCAGAATTTTATTCAACTCAGAATAAAAGTTGTTTAACAGACGATCATAGATTCAAATCGCTATTATTGGTTTGTATTACAAGGGAGTAAACGCAGTAATTGGAACAGTGATACAAATGCACGTGCAGTACATGATGAGCGTTAACTTAGACCAACCCTACGTCTACTCAGTGTTTCACTTAATGTACATACCCCCTTGTAATACAAACCAACAATAGCGATTTGAAACTATGATCATTTGTTAAACAACTTTTATTCTGAGTTGAATAAAATTCTGAGATTTAAATGTTCAATTGGCAAGGTAAAATCATGAGGATTCGTACTTCTAATTTCACTTTATTTGATTTATGTTCTTGTTTAAAGTGAAATTCATCGGTACATTTTCACTGCAAACAGACTATATAGTAAGCCCACAAAAAGTGCACACTAGAAAGTCTGAAGAAAGAATAAGTATATACACACATCTCTCACAGGACACACAAAGCATTAATGGTGTGTGCTGTCTTAAGGCCCAAATAGAATTACACACCCTATGTTACACTATTTCACCAACATATAAGCATCCATTACAGTGAGTGAGTGAGTGAGTTGGGTTTATCACTGCAATGAAGAATATTTCGGCATGGCTGCTACTTCAGTGGAAGAGACAAGTACTGGTGCTCACTCACATTGAAACACAATCAGAGAGCACCAAGGTCCCAGCCCATGATCAGTGGTCTCCAGGGACAACCTGTACACAAACATGACAGGACACCCGTGCTAACCGTGCCAATCAACGCTTATTATATTGAAATATCCAGCATATATACCCATTTAAATCAAGTCCTATGTCAAAGTTTCTAGGGTTGAGAAAAGGACACATCATATTGAGGGAAATGTCCCCCAAATCAAGGCATATTTTTTAGCAGCTCTTCAAAACAAAATAAAATAATAATCATAAAATGCGATCATAAACTCTCCTAAGGACAAATTAAGTACATTCCCAAAAAGCCTGACCTACTGCAGCAAGAGAAAACATTCTGCTGCATGTGTGGGTTGAAAATTAGATCAGTTACCTAAGCTTACTGTGGAAAATAAACCCTTGTTGAGGCAGGCTGTTGACATCTTTAGTGACCACATAGTGCTACAGGGCAAGTAAATAGGTGTAGTACTGACAGATTACTAGATGGAAGGCCCATTCTCTAACCAGACTTATGACAGGCACAGCCCTTAGATAGCCATAACTCCCATTCTTTAACATAGAACCACCTAAACACAAAGATTCTTTCAAAATTTTCGTGCTCCCATTCTTAATACTAAGAATGCCTTATCAGTAGATATTTGCATGGAACATGGCCCTTGACCTTATTTGAGTGCATAAGGTACTTATCATGAATTTATCACAAGTGTATCTGTCAACATTATGTTATTAAGACGTACAGAAATATGTAACTGTTGATTTATATGTAGTCAACTAGATACATACATTGCAGAACTTGGAGAAGATCTGTCCATGTATAAATCCGTGGTCAGTGCCGCTGTGTATTGTGAGTTTTGTTACACGTTATTATTTCATGACATGTCCAAACAAAAACGAAGAAACATAATCAGCTGAGTACTTTAGCACACATCAAACACTGGGTATGATATACATTTTTAACAACCATGTCAACTTGTCATATAAAGACACTACATATGCATCCTGTAGAATCTGGATTATCATACTCCCCACACAATCACACACAGATTCAGGATAACACAGCACCTTCAACAGAAAATGAAGACAACAGTGAAAACTATTCAACTGAACTGTGAGAAGTGAAATGATTGAAAGGGAGAGCAAAAAGTGGAAAAACACTAGCCTGAATGGTGAACCCAGTCATAGCTTACTAGTCCTCAGCTCATATCCAATACGTCATTATGTACAATTACTGGACAAAAACAAGTCTGTCTATGATGTTTAAAGTCTCCGTCTAGTGAACACACCTATCACTGCTAGCTCTGTTTCTTATAAGATATCTAAATCTACTGTTGATATGTTGAAAATAGAGTACTGCCTTTTCTATGAATGGTTTGCCGATTCTAACATGAAAGAATTGGGGAAACATACAACATGTATGTACTTGTTTCAGAACACACCAGAGGCAACTTTCAATGTTCACATGTCAACAAGTTCCCAGAACTTTCATGTTTTGTATTTTCTGGTAAGCCTAACAATTATTTCATTTTTCCTTCCACCTATTGCATGTGCTGATCCGTACCTTACACAGAGGCTCATACAACAAGAAATAAATGAAGGACACTCAAACACAAAGAGCATTCCTACTACAACAAGAAGTGAGTGAGTTTAGTTTTACGCCACTTTTAGCAATATTCCAGCAATATTACTACGGGCAACACCAGCAATGGGCTTCACACAATACAACAATGAGGTCTCAGATAATGACACAAACTTTCACAGACAGGCAAAAAATAATCGTAAGATAAGGATTCAAGATAATCCTATTTGATAACAAAAATGTGCTCATTACTATGTATATGATCAAGGTTCCCCTAATAAAATTAGAGTCACAAAAGGACACCCAATCAGTTCTGCATGATGTAATTACTCTGTGATATTACATATTGTGAAGATATTGTGAAGGTACTGTTTCAGGTTCAACTCCAGTGCTGTCTGATGGGTTCATGCATGCTTTCACACAGTGAGGTCTTTGAAGAGAATTAGGTCTCACTTTCGTGAAATTTTGACAACTGAGCAAACTCAAACTAATCAGTAATGAATACAAATTTAACATAACTTAGTCTGATTTCACTACAATGGGGTGTGTTGCCACACAATGCTCAAAACAAAGACTTCGTTTTCAGGTCTGTTTTTTTTTTAGAAAAAATATTTTCTTCCCACAACATATTGTTTTTCAGAACATCTGCCATGTCCTCTGAATAGATCAGAAAAAAGATTTTTTTCCAGCATTTTTTGTGAGACGGTTCATAGCAAACATTCAGTATTTTCAGTTTTCAGTACAATCAGGGTACAATCAATAACAATGGGTGGGGAATTGAATGTTTGGTAAAGAATTCCACCCCAAGTAAGCTTTGACTATGATTCTTTTGACGGAGAATTACCACATGTCTAATGAGTCAATATTCACACAAAAACAACAAAACAAGACAATGATAACATAAAAACTACCCCTGGTGAGGATTAAGGCACCTCTTGTCATCACAGATCCACAAGGCCTGCCACTCATACTTCATTTGCTTCAATGGCCTTGAACATCTGACCTCAAACATCTGACCTCAAGCATCTGACCTCAATGCAAAAATATTCTTCTTATAAAACAGTCCAACAATGTCAGATGCAATAATCAGATGTTCAGACTTTGATAACAAACAACTGATATATATGACCAAGGTCTTCATGAAAGTATCCAAATCTTGAAATGCCATGAAGTTTCAACAATATTTTTCCCAAAGAAACCTGCACTGTTATCTTGAATATTTCTCCTGCAAACAATCAGGGTGAACATCAGAGAATTCCGGAGAACATCAGAGAATCTCCCAGTTATTCCGAACTAGTCTGTGACAAATAGCAACACCTTTCACTGGCTAGTTTTCACATGTCACAAGATCAAGATGACATTTTCACAGCCAGTGCTCCAGCTGCTGCTCACCCATCTTAACAAGTCGCATCCATTAACAGCTGTCAGTCACAACTGATATGACCCACACAGTTCATCCATATCTGGTTAAACACTGTTTCCTGTCTACAATTACTTCCAGCAGAGTCTGTGTAAATTGGACATTCTGTGACACACATCATATTAGGTTTACACCTGAGAAAGAACCTTCACTGAGTCAGATTCTAGTTTTTCATACAAAAATTGATGACCCCATATGTTTATTCCTTGAAGGTTTATATAAACAGACCTCCATCTATACATTTGAAGCAAAATCCTGGCATGGTTACTCTTCACATCCTTTTGCTCATTTAAGGTTAAGCACCTCTAACATAAGCGGTTCAATTTCTAGAGGATTCACCTGCAAGAGGACCTTCGCATGGCCATCACTTATTCCTTTGAGCTCGTTAAGTTTCTGGCTAATAGCCACAAAGTACTCCTTAGCGTACATGTGAAGGAAAACACAGACTCGAGATAGTGCTTCAGGAGCACCAGATACTTGTCCTGAATATCAGAAAGAAGCTGATGATCTTTCACGTTTGGTCCATCAGGATTGAAGATAACGATAATTAGAGCAAGTCCAAACAAGGAATAGTCATTCTTCATAATTGTTTTTAGAGCACGACAGTATTTTATGTGGGAGTCATGTAATTCGACAAAGCCTGTTGCTTTCTTCAGTATCACTGTTGACACTTCCCCTTTTGTGGTCAGCCAAGAATCTCTTTCCACAATGTAAAATGAAGCCGATCGAAGAAGGAGTGTACTAAGCACTGCACCCTTTAATGAGGATATTTGGTCCTCCTGGCTGAGGCGCCGAAAATCTTCCAAGCGTTTCACAAACTTGATAAGACGTCGAACTGCAACTTCTGAATGGTTGATGAGGTCATTGACACTGTGATAATTATCTTCTTGCAGCGCTGCACTGCTATTGTGCATACTCCCCACTGTGGTCTGGTACGCAATTCCCACCTCAGTCACTAGGGTCTGTTCATTCTCACTCAGCTGCCTATACATGCTTTCATCGGAAGGAAGATCGCAACTGTCTACTGGAACATTTATTTTTTCAAAGGTAATGTATGCACTCTTGGAGCAAGGAGGAATGTCTGAACTTGAAGGGACTTCAGTGGAAGGAGTGGGTGGGGAGTAGATGTTTGAAGACCCAACAGCGCTGACTTCAAAGTCTGGATCAATCGGCTCATCCTTCACAACTGTGTGTTGTGGCGTAACCTGCCGCTTTATTCTGTTTTCTGCCACTTTTTCCATCCGAGCCTTCCGTTCTTTGTCATCTGTCAAACACAACATATTTCATGTTAGACGTGTTTGTATTTACTTGTGAAAGTAGTCCTCTCATCACCGTTTCATCAGAGCATAAACTGTTAATGTATGAAACATTACTTCCAACCTTCCAAATGAAGACAATTTCTGAACAGCTTACAATATTCTCAGGATTAGATATTGTAGAATTTGTAAAGATACATGAAAACCAAAAGGTCTTACATAAAGAAAGGTAATAATATCTCAAAACTGACAATGATATTAACATGTATTACAAAAAGCTTAATATCAATCTTGAGGATGCAATAGTTTTGGTTTGAGATTAGCATTTCCTTTTTCATTGTTTAGAAAATCAATTATTTTTCTAACATGAAAACATAACACACTGTATTCTTTGGACACTTGTGTTTAGAAAAGGGCATATTGGTTTTCTTTTCTGCACAGTGAGGCATGGTACTTCAGTAAATTCAGCATGGACATCTTTCTAGAAAGAAGTCACTCTCTCTCCTATCCCCTTCCCACACCAAATAGAATGGTGTCTATGGTAGCAAATCTCTCTTTTCAACTCTATGTATCACTGGTATATAATCATCTAGGATACTGTTTTCTTCCTTTCATTACCTAAATTTAGTGACTGAGTGAGTATAATCTTTAAGTAGTTTTCAGTAATATACTAGAATGGTTTGGCATGTACCAGTGGGGAAAATGGAACCTGGTATGATGGGCACTACAGCCGTTTTGGTGCCAATATACTGAACCGTTTGGGCACTGACTGCATGTCTGTCTGATATACACAATTACGTATTGTGTACATGTATGACCTGCAAGCACTGAGTATGAATAATTGTGATGATTTTAGCAATTACTATAACCACAGTAAGTGCAGGTCACACTGACCATGCTGGTACACTCAAAGTATAAATTCAATTTGAAAACAATTAACAATATAAATGTTAAATGTTGTTTAAACAATGGTACATGCAATTAACAGATAAAGTACTGGTAAACTGGAGTAAACATAAACAAGGTAACAGGCAGATATATCATTGTCCAACAAATGACAATATAATCATAACCATAGTTTTTTGTAGCACCTTGAGCGAGCATTGAACGCATGGATGCAGGCGCAGTTATAAATACCCACCATTATTATTATTATTATTCGACCCCAACCCCCCCTGGATCCGCCAATGACAACGATACACATGATGACAGCACTCTCCACCACTTCAAGAATATTGTACAATAACACATGAATCACCCATCTTATCATGTGCACATACTGACTGAGGTCTTCATAAATAGGTCAGACAAATATAACCTTATTGTTTTTCAAATGTAAGCTTGAAATAGTCATGTCAAACTGACATTCAGTCACTGATTATACACAACCTGTCCTTGTGTTTCATGACAGAATCATTGTCATTCGACAACTTTTGCAAGAAATGCTTCAAACAAATTGATGTATGTTTTACATGGATCCTTTGCACTAAAATGATGGTACAGAATATCATCTTTCTTGGTTAAATTTGAAATAGTAGGTGTGTCTGTGTTGCATTTAGAATATTGTAAATCACTGCTAAACCAGATACACCATTAAACACATGCTTGGAAATTTCATTGTATCTTGTCTCTTATCAGAATCAGAAAAAAACCATTGTTCAATGATGAAAAGTATGCTTAATGCGATAAACTACTTAACTCCTAATTACTAATATGCACACACACATCTCCCTAAACTACACACAGTTGAAGTGCCATACATGAAAAGCTCTTTGAATGAAGTCAGTAATTTGTACTTGGAATCCTCAATGATATGTGGAGCCTTTCCACAATGATAACACTGCTGGTGTTGGTCTTTTCTCTAACCTGCTTTGCCAGTCCTATTCAGGGATTTCATTCCATACACATACCAGTCTTACCAAGCAACTTACCTAATATCATGTCACTCTTCATTCCTATCTCAAAGCACTTTTTTAATCGGCAGTACGGACAGAACCTTCTTGTCCGCACATCAATGGCGCAGTTTCCTTGAAAAAGGCACTTCACTTTCTGAAAAGAAAAAAACAGAAGAAACATCTGAATGAAAGCTGTGTATCAAAGGTGAAGACACTGTGAATGTGCTGTGAATGTTCTGTGAATGTTTTGGCAGTGGGGCAGCTTAGTGGTGAGAGTGTTTGCTCATCATATGCATCATACACCTCCATTCACCCAGCAGTTGGTAATATTGAGATAGTAATGTGGCTATCAGTCTTCAAACAGCTCAGAAGCAGCTTGGCTTGTATGACACCATTCAGGTGACTGAGAAGAAAGATTCACCATAGGCAAATAGTGGTGGCTTTGAGTGTGGTACCTTGCAAGGAAAAGCCCTGTATCTGTGAACTATGACTGACTGACTGAGTTTGGTTTTAAGCCGCTTTTAGCAATATTCTAGCAACTTCACGGCGGGGGACACCAGAAATGGGCTTCACACATTGTACCCATGTGGGGATTCGAACCCGGGTCTTCGCCGTGACGAGCCAACGCTTTAACCATTAGGCTACCCCACCGCCCCCCTGTGAACTATGGTGGTACTGGTGCTGATGATGATGATCAGCAGTAGTGGTACAGCTTCCAGTGCAAATATACCATTGTAAACATTCATCTCCATTTGGACTGACTGACTGAGTTTGGTTTTACGCCGCTTTTAGCAATATTCCAGCAACATCACAGCGGGGGACACCAGAAATGGGCTTCACACATTGTACCCATGTGGGGATTCGAACCCCGGGTGTTCGGCGTGACGAGCCAACGCTTTAACCATTAGGCTACCCCATCGCCCCCTCCATTTGGAGTGACTATGGTTTTATGGCCATTCTATATCTAAGGAAAATGAGCATGTACCCAAGCTGGGGATTACACCTGAATCTTCAGCAGAACAAACAAACACTACGATCAGCTGGCTAAGAAGATTTCATTACATTGTATGGGTAATCTGCTGTCAATGAAGTATCTCTGTAGGGTTAACATTTCAAACATTTTTTTCTTTATTTTACATTTCGAAATGTCAATAGGTTATCGACAAAAAAATATATATACTAAAAAACTGGTATTACAGATTATCATTTGTACATGAATGAAGGTTAAGAGAAACACCATGCAGATATTCAATAATTCCTCCCAGTTCATTAGTAATCTTCAAATGAATATGTATACTTCCTAACTATGTGACAAAGATAATAACGCTACTGTGACAATGCTGAGATACTGAGATATCAATATCTGCTTACAAATCAACATGACACTGCCTTTGTCAAAATCGCATCCTGTATGCTTGAATTACATGCAGTAGGAAGTAGTTGTCAGCAATTACTGGTTGCTATAAGAGAAGACTAAGAGAGCAGGTGGTCAGCTTAGGTGGTTGATGTATGTCATCATATTGCAACTGCTCAATACTCAGGGGGGCGCCGGGGTAGCCTAGTGGTTAAAGCGTTGGCTCGTCACGCCGAAGATCCGGGTTCGAATCCCCACATGGGTACAATGTGTGAAGCCCATTTCTGGTGTCCCCCGCCGTGATGTAGCTGGAATATTGCTAAAAGCGGCGTAAAACCAAACTCAGTCAGTCAGTCAATACTCAGGTTGTCAAACAAACAACAAACGTGCAGGCATCCTAAGCTACTTGTAAGCACCCTTGGCTGACCTGCTTGGAGGAAACAATAATTTTGGACTTCATTAAAATTGCATTTGATGCCTAAAAGTAAACTACCGGTAAGCATAAAAGCCTCTTCCACTTTATTGGTCCAATTATAAACAAAATACAAATCACCTGTATAAAGCCAAAATGTACATTAACATAAGGTTGGAAATTATAAACTCCAATTTATCAAATTTTACTGTCATTTGCTGCAAACTTGGCAGGTATAGATGAATACCTTACATGTGTTAATAGCAGGGTGTTCTAAATGTCAGGGACTGAATGTGCTTGTACACCATGAGATCAGGCTATTTTCCTTTGCCATGGCTATTCATGGATGAAGTGCTTCTTGTTGTACACATAACTTCTTCTTGCTGCACACTCAGTGTCTCAGGTTTCAATGTAGGCCTAGAAATTACTCGACCATCAAATCCTCACTTGAAATACTCAAAGCCCCTTTTAAAAGATTAACTATATTTTCTCACACAATAACATACTATACATACCATGGTGTATTTTGAATTTCAAGGTTGGGACTGAATTTACTGCTGATTTTGTTGGGTAAGTAGTATTCATAATTGGCAGGAAATACACCTACAGTATCTGGCATTATGCACCTGAATGTCCCAAACTAGGTTTGACTGCATTAAGATGAGCCGTGTTTGCTGCTCACTACGCTTGAGTGCCGAACTGGGCCAGGGGTCAGGTCCCTCGGTACTGGGGAGGGATGGTGTGTCATCTATATGTATAAACGAAACACCTGGAGGCAAGAGGACTCACTTCACCAGATGTTGAGTATTTGAAGAAAATAAACACTGCGCATGAACATAGAAATACAGGTGTGGTTTAACATTATCTTCATATTTAATTTAATTTACATCTGTACAGGGTAGCCTGTTAATTACTGTGTTTGTTTCTGATCAGAACATCACAACCATAACTACTCCAGATTAGTACTGAAATCAAGCCAGTTTGAGACCTGGGACCCCTCAATGCTAATGCCTTTTGGTTATAACAATGCTTCATTTCTACACTGTAAACCTTGTAGATCCAAGTGGGTGACTTTGTCTTGAGGTTGAATCATGTTGGAGGCTCAGTAGTTTGTTCAACTACTACATCATAAGAGGTCATCTATACAGTTTGGTTCTCAGGAGCCTACTAAACATTTCTAGGTAAAAGTCAGTGGTTATTTTTTGGTTCTTCCCAATAGCACAATGCCTGCACTCAACTGTTCCTATTCACGTTGGTTCAATGACTGCTGGCACTTCCACTGAGTTCAGCACTGTGTAACAGTAATAAAGTCAGTCCAGCCTTCAGCAGCAAGACACAATCACATTTGACCATGCAATCTATGTAAAAGCCAAATGGAGAGCCTTCCAGGAGTTTTCTAACAGTTTCATATGCATGGATGGGTTGTACATTGTCTTCAACTTCCTCTCAGTATTGGGTAAAAAGTATGAATGATCAGGTACTGAAGGACTTTTCATTGAAAGTGGTGTTGATACAAGTGGATGAGACACTGCACTTCTGAATGAAAAATTCTACAATCTTGAGAGTTTGATGTCATAAGCTGTTGTGCTTCATCTTCAATGGCAAAGACTTGTAGAGCTGCCAACAACTAACTAGCAAGAGAGAATTTGTTGCTCATCAACAGGTGATTTGGCACTACACGTATCATCCACTGCTGCAGTGGCTCCATATTTCTACTCCTCAAGATTGTTACAAGAATATCTTTCATACATGAACATCCTTCCCAGAGAGACATAAAGAGTTTGTAGATGGTAATCATGCAATATGACTATCCTGTTAACCCTATGCTCAGATATGGACACTTGAGCAAACTGTAAACTTACAAAGCACAAGTTGAGTATAATTGGAATAACTCAGAAATCAGGAGCAGTAGAAACAACGGTTTCTAACATGTCATGAATGAGTGAGTTGGGTTTTACGCCGCTTTGGGCAATATTCCAGCAATACCACGGCGGGGGACACCATAAATGGGCTTCACACATTGTGCCCATGTGGGGATTCGAACCCGGGTCGTCGGCATGACAAGTAGGCGCTTTAACCATTAGGCTACCCCACCGCCCTAACATGTCATGAACATGCAGCCATCACAAAATAAACTATGGGGAAATGTGCTATCTGTGTCTCCCAGATTGCACGCATATGTAATGAGGTGAGGTGAAATTGGGTTTAACGTCGTACTTGAGAATATCATATGTAATGAGTCAGCTCCAAATAGAATAAAAAGACATGAAGATGATGTCCAGCAGTTGACAACCTACTCAGCTTCAGGTGTGATGACAAATCCTTTCTCATCTGATAAGACATTCATGACACAATGACTCTCAACAACACTGGAGTTATGGTGCCTCAGGTCATGTCAACCCATTTGATCCAAGTATGTGACCTTGGGACTAATCAGATGAAAGAACTTGCAGAACAGAGACTCAATACTAATCTATGGTAATTCTGGAAGCCTGGAACATTCTGAAAGTTAAATCTAAAACCATTAGCTACCATGATAAGAAAAAGGCAAATTAAGGCTGTTGATTAAAAATCCATCATTGTCAGTGCTGACAGGCAGGAACTTGTTTGGATGTCTTGTGGCCAAGACCAGAGATAAACTCTTCACAGGGGTTTTCTCTTATGAACTCACAACCATACCATTCTGACTAGCTCATCCTGATGGTAGTCTTAGAAAGACAAACAAATATATTCTCCTTTCTCAGCTAGAGAAACAGGTGGACTTTCAACCAATAATCCCAGCTTCAACAAACAGTCCTCCTGAACTCACCATTGATCCAATGGCAGTGGTGCAATGGTAATGGTTGGTGGGGCTTTACCAGTAGCATGAGGAGGAGGATTCAAACTGTCATCCAAGCACGTGGGGGATACACCCCGATACTGATGCCAGACCCATCAGATGTTAACATGTGACATTCCTTGTGCATCATTTCTTGTAATAGTCAGCCACTGACAATGCTACGACCATACTTGTTCAGTGACTATTTTCATCAAAAATCAATAGTGACCAAATCACATTGGTTACGCTATTAAAACAACACGAATTGGAATCATTGTCTTGTTGTTCATTTGCCAATAGATCATATGTTTCACCATAGCTAAGGTTCCACTATCTTTGGAATAGTGAGAGAGTTACAGCAAGTTTTGTTTCTTATCATCCAGAAAATAGGGGGGGTGCTTAATTAAGTTCCAGGTGTATATATAGGCCACCGAGCAATTAGTCTTTGGTGGCTTCTATGATGGAGATAGAGCTGTACTGATAAGAAAGGGCCATTATGAAGATGTCCAGTTGATGAAATCAGACCATGAGGAAGCAGAGACTGGGCTCCTCTTACATGTCAAATATACT